TGGATTTTATTGTGGGAATTTATTCTAAAGTGTTCTTGGATTTAACTTGGATTTAACTGTGCTATTAAAAAGGATCATTCCAGGATCAGACTAGACATTTGTAATTTTTATTTGGACTTCAGGTATTTGTAAAGATAATTTGTTATTTTATTATTTCTTTAATAATTTTTCTGTAATAAATTTGTTATTGTTACAAGTTTGTTGCTGGCTTTTCTTTCTCGTTACGCCTGGCTCATAACACAATGTAACACATTCATGTTATTTGAGGAAAAGTGGCATATGGTTACCAAGTTAGAGACATTGTGCACCCTAAAGGAGAAAACAATGGGAGTAACAAAATAAAATGAAATTTTGAAATGTCCTTTTTCAGGCAATGCCTTAATAATACTGACCTTTCAAAAGCACCATTTGGCATTGTCAAAAATGCTTTATGACCTTACCTTTGACTAAAACTTCATATGGCATTGATATTGTCAAAAGCACAATAATTACCTTGACATTATCTAAAATGCTATTTCTTCTTGACATTTTCAAAAACTCCATATGACTTGCAATATCATCTTGAGATCAACATTGTGAAGTGGAAAAACAACAACAACAAAGCATGTTTTTATATGTCAGGTGATTTTGGAATCTCTAAGGTACTTGAGAACACTGTGGATGTTGCACAGACTATTGTTGGAACACCAAGTTACCTTAGTCCAGAGTTGTGCCAGGATATACCATATTCCTCGAAATCAGATGTGTGGGTATGTATACATTTGTACCATTTGTTTTTTTAACTTGACTATTTGAAGAATAAGGAGAACTATTGTACTCACCCAGGTGTTGGGATTGATATCTTACTTTGTTTAATTTTTGTGTGCAAGTTGATACCTCCAAAACTACTGAAGGGAATGACTTGAAACTTCACACACTTATTTGATAGCATGATAGGAAGTCACTAATAACTCTTACATGGATTATGACAGAATTATGGCCCTTTTTCGAACTTCTACATTATCCACGCTCTTGTTTTACTTTCCAGCACTTAAAATAGTCTAGCACGCTGTTCTACCAACAGCTCTTATTTAAATTGGTATTTACATCTAGTTTATCTGCTAACAGTCTGTTGAATATCAATTACTCTATGCATGTACAGTTAAACTATGGCCTGTATCTTCATGTTTTCAGTAGTTATTGCCTATGGTTTATATATCGTATAAAGAGGTAATAAAAAGTAAAATCACCTTGCTAAAAGTTGTCACCTTTGTATAAGAAACAGAGAAATGTGTTAAACATAAAAATATTCATACAAACATGGAGACAAATTAGATTTAAGAAAAATAGATAAAGTTTCACTAATATTATTTCTCTGTAAAAAAAATCAGGTAGAGTGTAGTGTTAACCTGTTACATGCTAAATATCTTAATTTGAACTGCTCATGTTTCAATCTTGACAAACGCATTCATCAATTCTAGGAAAATTTAATATATATACAGGCTAAATATCAAACTGTACATATCATTATTAGATGGCACAGATGTGCCGACTGTACTTGGTCTGTGCTGATCCTATGGGTAAAATTTGTTGTTGAATTAATTGTTTTTCTTTCAGGCTGTTGGATGTTTGCTGTATGAATTATGCGCTTTAAAGTCACCATTTGATGCCCAGAATCTAATCAGTCTTTTCTTTAAAATTATCAAATGTGAATTTGAGGTATGCAGTTTTCTTAGTTTTCCAGCAGATCTATTTTATGAATTATGTGGTCTGCAGTAAATTATAAAGGGAAATCATATATTATTCAAACACAATTCCCATTTAATTACAATAATTTTATAGGAGCAGACATGTATTAAGGTCATATGTTCATAAGCCTATTTATAAAATTAAATTCTATAGTTTCATTAAGATAAAGATTTTTCCTTTATGCGTTTTAGAGATGGTATATTATATATTTAAAGGAAAATTTCATACATGTAAGTGAGCTATTCTTGTTGATATTATAACTTGTTGATTGGGTATAGTTGGGCTTTAGAGAATGTACATTTATACATTCCAGTAATACAACCCATCAGCAATATTCCATATTTAATATTTGGAAAACCCACACTGACCTTTGCAGTTGATCTGTGTTGACAGATATATGTTCATTGTTATTGTTGTTGTTGTTGTTTTTCAGCCAATACCGAGTATATATAGTAAAGAATTACAGGAGATAGTCAACATGATTCTTGTAAAATCCCCTGATGACAGACCTAGGTAAATATGTAATATTATCATATTTTACATTTTAAGTGTGCCTGTTCATGCCTGAAATAATGCACGGAAGGGCATCCGAGGTGTTCCTTCACCAGTATAGCTGGAACGTCTCAGTATGACCTATACTGTGTCCGTGTGGCATAAAACCCAATCAAACAAACAAACATTTTAAGTGCTATCAAGATATGCCTTGTTATATTTCCTCATCAAATAGATATGATGCTGTAGAACATATTATATTGATATGCTTCACAAGAAAACCTGACATAACTTACTCAATTGTGCTTTGAATATAGTATTTTGTAAATAAGTTTAAAAGGAGAAATGCTGTGCAAATTCATTTATCAAGCTGTATTGCTGGTTTCTCCTTGATATATGCTGAAGAAGTAACTTTTTTGGGGCCTCTGTTGCCAAGTGGTCCAGGTGACTATTTTCTGAATCACTTGCCCCTCATCGTTGTGCGTTCAAATTCCGACATGGACTTCGAATATTTCATTTGAAAAAAGCTAACCAGTTAAGTTTAGTGAAGGTTTGTGGTTCTACGCAGGTACTCATTTTTGCCTGAATTTGTGCATTTAAGGGCAGATAATGCCTTCCTTCATTTGTTAAGTTTGGAAAATCACAATTACATTGGTCTTTTACCATGTTCATTTGGGGAGCATCTGTGGCCAAGTGGTTAAAGTCTTTGACTTCAAACCACTTGTCCCTCACCGCTGTAGGTTGGAATTTCCACAGGGATTTAGGATTCCTTCATGTGAGGAAGGTATCCATCTAGCTTACGGAATGTCGGTGGTTCTACTCAGATACCTGTTGGTGAAAAAATGCAAGGAAGGTAACCTGAGGTCCTACTCCATCAGTAAAGCTGGAAAGTCACCATATTACCTATTCTGTGTTGTCATGACGTAAAACCCAACAACAATTTTCAGTTGACTTACAATTAAAAAGAAATAATGATACTTAATAACCATATAACCATACAAATATTTGTGAGACTATTATCTTAACATATAAGAATACATTTAATATAGTACATCACCTTTTCTTTTAGTGCCAGTGCTTTGCTGAATACACAGTTAGTGAAAAAACATTTAGCTATGTTTATAGAACAGAAAGAGAATCTACTGCAACAAAAATCTTCCAAAGATGACTCTCTATCTACCCCACAACACACACCTACAACTGTTCCTAAACTAAAGCAACAGAAAAGGTTGAACATTCATACATTATATAATTCTTATAATATCTATATTAATTTACAAATATCTAAGAATTTTTATTTGTATGTATACCGCTTCCGTGGTGGAGGGGTTAGAGTCGATGACTTCTAATCCAGCTACCTTTCTGGCGTGGGTTCGATCCCCGGGAGATGCTTTGGTAGTTTAGCGTGGAGGAAGGTAGTCTAGTACTGGTGTAACTCTCCAGGAACGATGGTTATAAAACTACCCGCCTATATGACTGAAATACTGTTGGGAAAAGGCGTAAAATGAAACAAACAAACAAAATTATTTGTATGTATTTACCTTTCATAGGCCTCTATCTTTAAAATTAATGGGCTGAAATTCATTAGGATTTTTTCTAATTGTATTCTGATATTAAAATACCTTAAACTTTGAATGGATTCTTCTAAACTCAATATAGGGCAAATCCATTACACAAAATTAAGCAGGTTTAGGGTCATCGATTTTAGTGTTTCTGTCATGAAAGTGAAATTTTCTCTCTTTTTAGCAACATGGAAAAACCAAGTTCAAGTTTAAAGAGAAATAAACTAAAGATATCAACACCGATGTTACAGAAGTCAGATTATTTACAAAATGCAGAGTTGACAAGCAGGGAGAGGTCACCTCATGGTCAAGATAGTGGATTAGGTGTCAGTGCTGAAACAGGTATGGTGACCACTGGATTAGTGTAATAGACATATTATAGTGTAAGGAATTAAAATAAAATAATAAAATTGTTTAGCTAGCATTACAGTCTCTCAAGACTCAGATATATCATTGATGGTTGGCCAGATTCTTTACTTGTGGTAAATGTCTGCTTTTTTACCAAATTATGAATACCATTTATTTTTTTAAAGAAAACTTGATCAAATTGAAGAATTAAATTAGATTGGTGTTGCAAAAGAGTACTAAAACAGCATTTTATTTCGTAACTGTTACTTTCTTTGATTTCCTTTATAAATGTGTTTCTATTCCTATATGAATTATTGGATAGGGGATGGGGTGGTTTTCCTGCATCAAACCTTTGATGAGCGAAAATTTCACCTCAGACATTGACTCTAATGGTGCTTTGTCTCTCACCAAATGATTAAGAAATCATGGATCGTTCTTGTTCATTTAGGGTAAAATTGGTTTGTACTGGTAAGTTAGCCAGGAAAGTAGGTTAATTAAACGGACCACATATATATGCCCAAAAAATGTGAGAAATCTACGGTGTCCTTATCGTGCCATTTAGAATGTCGTCCGTCGCGTCTAAGGGTAGACACACGACAATGCGAAGTGACATCGCGACAATGCGAAGCGACGCTCGACAACGCGAAGCGATATGCGACAATGCGAAGCGACGCTCGACAGTGTCAAACGATATGTCGCACTGTCGCCTAGAAATGTCGCGGTAAAAAAGGGCGACATTTAAGAAATGTCGCTTCGCGTTGTCGAGTGTCGCTTCGCATTGTCGAGCGTCGCTTCGCGTTGTCGCGATGTCACTTCGCGTTGTCGCGATGTCACTTCGCGTTGTCGCATTGTCACTTCGCATTGTCGAGTGTCGAGGTTGGTAGAAGTGCATACCACGACACTCGACAATGCGAAACGACAACGCGACAATGCGATACGACGCTCGACAATGCGAAGTGACACTCGACATCGCGAAGCGACATTTTTAAAATGTCGAGTAAATGTCGCGTTATTTTTATGATTTTTACACCGCGACGCCCAACATTGCGAAGGGACACTCGACAATGCGAAGCGACACTCGACAACGCGAAGCGATACTCGACAACGCGAAGCGACACTCGACAATGCGAAGCGACATTTGGAATAATATCGTATCGCATTGTCGTGCGTCTACCGGTGCTTGGTCAGAATTTACTAACTCACCGACAAACGGTGCGATCATGGAAGGGGTCGCACTAAACTGCTGACGAATTAGCTGACGATATAGAATATATAGGAAACTGCTGACCAGTTAAACAAAGAAGGATTATCGAAAACTGCTGACCAGTTAGATAAAGAAGGGAAAACAATGAAGGTGTCAAATTGCCGTTGGTGATATTACAGGCGAGGTCGAGAAATACTTGATAAAATGTTTTTTCAAGATGTCAATATTACAAATGATACATATTAATTATAAAAAATTCAATTGATATATACTGTATATTTCTCAATTTATTTTGATATAATATTTTATTTAAGTACCTTAATGAATTTTCTTCTATGTGTTATATATTGGTTAAAATTTTAAAAATGTAGTCAAAATATGATGTACGAAAAATCATAATTTGTTTCAAGTATGTATAAAACTATGCATCATAGGTTAAAATATATACATGTACATATACGTAATGTATATTTTAACAAAATATAATTATTATGTCGTATTTAGTGCAAATATGAAATAAAGTGATTTCTGTTTCCTTATTTGTTGTTCGTATAATTGTATAAGTAATATTGAACAAAAATTAATAATGTGCTAATTGTTATAGTTAATAAGCTTTTATTACATTATAAACAACATGTTTCCACAGATATCCATTAAACTGATAATTTATCGAGATCGATATGCCCCAAGGTCATATTAAAATCGATTTCACACGCGACGTGTCATTCTTGATTTATCTATGACAAAATACAATAAACAGTCAAAAATATGTTATAAAAATGCTGACCATATTGTAGAATCTGCTGAAAAGTTAGATATATAGAGAAAAATATATTTAAATGCTACGAAATTGTTACTCATTATGCAAATTTAATATATTTTATAAAATAATGTCGACATTTAATTAAGTAAAAACACTGCTGACCAATTTAATGTTAATTCAAATTGATTTAAGCCGTAAAACTCTCTTATTCTATATGGTCAGCAAATTTAACGCTCTTTACATTCAGGCGAGAAAATGCTGACCAGTTAAACATATAGTAGAATCTGCTGACCAGTTAGATATATAGGGAAACTGCTGACCAGTTAGATATATAGAGAAAAATATATTTTGCCGTGAAATTGTAATTCATTTTATAATGTATGCAAATTCAATATATTTTATAAAATTATGTCGACATTTAATTAAGTAAAAACACTGCTGACCAATTTAATATTATTTCAAATTGATTTAAGCCGTAAAAGTCTTCTTATTCTATATGGTCAGCAAATTTAACGCTCTTTACATTCAGGCGAGAAAATGCTGACCAGTTAAACATATAGTAGAATCTGCTGACCAGTTAGATATATAGGGAAACTGCTGACCAGTTAGAAATATAGAAAAATATATATTTTGCCGTGAAATTGTTACTCATTTTATAATGTATGCAAATTTTATATATTATATAAAATCATGTCGACATTTAATTAAGTAAAAACACTGCTGACCAATTTAATGTTAATTCAAATTGATTTAAGCCGTAAAACTCTTCTTATTCTATATGGTCAGCAAATTTAACGCTCTTTCACATTCAGGCGAGAAAATGCTGACCAGTTAAACATATAGTAGAATCTGCTGACCAGTTAGATATATAGGGAAACTGCTGACCAGTTAGATATATAGAGAAAAATATATATTGCCGTGAAATTGTTACTCATTTTATAATGTATGCAAATTCAATATACTTTATATTATTTCAAATTGATTTAAGCCGTAAAAGTCTTCTTATTCTATATGGTCAGCAAATTTAACGCTCTTTACATTCAGGCGAGAAAATGCAGTTTCCTATATATCTATATCGTCAGCTAATTCGTCAGCGAAGTGACATCGCGACAACGCGAAGCGACGCTCGACAATGCGAAGCGACACTCGACAACGCGAAGCGACATTTCTTAAATGTCGCCCTTTTTTACCGCGACATTTCTAGGCGACAGTGCGACATATCGTTTGACACTGTCGAGCGTCGCTTCGCATTGTCGCATATCGCTTCGCGTTGTCGAGGGTCGCTTCGCATTGTCGCGATGTCACTTCGCATTGTCGTGTGTCTACCCTTAGACGCGACGGACTACATTCTAAATGGCACGATAAGGACACCGTAGAAATCAGCAATTAAAAAAAACGAAATTAAGAAAAACAATGATCATACACTATTAAAGTGATGTTAGTTATGTACTTACTTTAATAGGTAACGCGCGCACTCTTAGTACCTATAGTATCACGTGACATTTTGTAAACCGGAGTGATCAAAACAAACATTGTTTCTCTTGTTTAAAACCTGTTACAAAATGTATCTTTATCATGACTAATATAATTGATTTACCTAAAAGGGGAAACTCGGTCATCTACTTGTTTATATTTTTGTCGGTGAATGATACACAGTTCTTCATTGTTTTGTTATTTTTCGCTCTGTTTATCTTGTTTTCTTTGAATTAAAGAACTTTAAAATTACTTAAAAATTAGGCAACGGGTGATCTTGTTCTTCCGGTCTTCGTCCTGCATGGAAAATTTTGATACTGGTTTATTTTTCGTAATTTGAAATTAAAATATTCTACTTTCCATGCGTTAGAAATTTTAAATTTTTCATTATTATTTCTATACATACGATGTACTTGTCTGAGAATTAAAATGTTTATTAGTTTGATCATTATAACAATATTTGTTTTTATCTCTCTCTATTCAGATAAAATAACTATGAATATTGTCCCTACATGTATATTACAATCAAGAGAAATAACACTTATGACAATATTCTTGCAAAAAAGGCTGTCTACTTGTTATGTGCATTTCAAATTGACGATGTGCATTTTTTTTTCAATTTATAATGACCTTACTGCATTAAATTATGTAACTACTACTATATTAGTTACATATGTTATTATTTACATGCGACTTCAGAACATTACATTACTAGTATATTAGTAACACATAGGACTGCAGTATTTTATGTAACTATTAGTGTTTTAGTTATACATTGAACTTTTTTTCTTTTTCATCTTTTTTTTTTACATGGGACTGCAGTAACTACATGTACTAGTATTTTAATTATACATTGAACCTATTTTTTCTTCTTTTTTTAATGGGACTGCAGTACAGTATGTAACCATAAGAATTTTCTTCGTTACACAATGGATTATTTAAATGTATATATTAATTTATCAATTCATTATTTGCATCGGACTGCAGTAAATTATGTAACTACTTGTATATCAGTTGTACTTGCATAACTTATGGACTGCAGTTTTTTTATGTAACTATTAGTGTTTTAGTTACTCATTGAACTTTTTTCTTTTTCATCTTTTTTTTTACATGGGACTGCAGTACACTATGTAACTACATGTATAAGTATTTTAATTATACATTGAACCTACTTTTTCTTCTTTTTTTAATGGGACTGCAGTACAGTGTGTAACTATAAGATTTTTTTTTTCGTTACACAATGGATTATTTAAATGTATATTAATTAAACAATTCATTATTTGCATCGGACTGCAGTAAAATATGTAACTACTTGTATATCAGTTGCACTTACATATTGGACTGCAGTACATTATGTTACTATCTATATATTAGTCTGCATTACATTATGTTAATATGACCATATTAGTTATACATTGTATTATTTACATAGTTCTGCAGTACACTATGTAACGGGACCATGACTTTATTCCTTACATTCAAAATAGAAAACTTATTATGTTACTATTTAATATAATGTCCTGTCCACATCGCATCATAAATATTATGCCTTTG